AGCAAGCTGGTGCCGAAATGCCAGTGCCCATGTGTGGTCTGGAAACCCTGCTGTCTGACAGCTCTTCCTGTAGCGGGTGTGGGGCTAGAACTCTCAGAAGGAACGTGGCCGTAATGGAGCCTGTAACAGGATTCCACTGGATCTACAGAAAACTGAATAAATGGCAGATCGTTGAGTACAGTAGCCTAGCTAGGCCACAGACTTGCTCCCGTTTCCTTGACAGAAAGCCGAGGAGTCCTTAGGTGCCAAAGACGCCATGGTTCTGGCCTGTGATAAAGGGAGATCAAGCATCCACAGCTGTGCGCTAGACTAAAGCAAACTGCAAGCTTGGCTGTGTCCCCTGTGTTCCACATGCATACATCTGTGCCTGGATAACACAAACTTTGCAGAGTGCCCTCTCAGATCAGGCAGGCCCTAACTACCAGGCAGTAATCCTCCCACACTGCAACAGATGCTGATCGCTTATGAACGTCTGAAGTGGCCCGTGGAGGTTTCCTGGTGAGACCCTGATGTGTCCTTTGGGACTATAAAGATTAAGAATTTGATTGTAATTTTCCTATCTTCATTGTGGGGGAAAATGTAACTGTGGTGGGAGAGGAGCTGGCTGGGTTTTGGAACAGTTCATCTGTCACAGATGGGCTGGCTAAGCAATTGGTGTGAGCTTCCCCCTATGGGAAGGACTAAACCCAGAGACACTGGCAGCTATGTAGTGGAATTCGTCTCAATGTGTGGTTGGTGTGCTTTGGAGTCCTAACGGCAGTAAACCTGGGCTTCCCTCTGCTGTTCTTTCTGGTATCTGCCCTGGTGAACAGTAACCGGTTGTAGCTGAGCCTTGAATTCCCTTCCCTGTTGTGGGCACCCCCTCCTGCTAGGGCGGAAGGGTTGGATTTTTCAGAAGCTGCCTAGCGGATTTGGAAGCACACTTCCCATTAATTTCTAATATGGGCCTGCCAGGTGACCTGTACTGGCTCAGAGACTGAGGGGTGTCTATATGTCTGCACGACTGACCAAGAGATCACAACTGATGGCCAGACAATTTAGTCTCTCATTTGGCCACCTGCTTGGGAAATATTGTAGTGGTGAAGGCATCCCTCAAACCAGCCTGGCAGCCTTTTACAAAAGGCCTTGCCTCTGCATTGGATTGCAATGCATTGGACTCTATATTGTATTGACTCTTAATGAGAATTGCCCTTTATGATGCTACACCTCTACCTCGATATAACGCAACCCGATATAACACGAATTCGGATATAACGCGGTAAATCAGCACTCCGGGGGGGCGGCTGCGCACTCCGGTGGATCAAAGCAAGTTCGATATAACGCGGTTTCACCTATAACACAGTAAGATTTTTTTTTTTGGCTCCCGAGGACAGTGTTACATCGAGGTAGAGGTGTATATAAAGAACTCTTCTGGATTAAGCCAGTTGAGTTAAGTACACATGCCAATCTCCATGCAGTATGTAGGTGGGGAGGGCGTATTCTGACTAACTACTGGTCAATGCAGAAAAAACTGGTAACCAATGGATCTTCTGGTGGTTGCTCTTTGCTTCATTCTATGATGACTATGGCACTTCAGGCACAAGAAACCTAATGGAGTAAATTGGCACCTTTAAGTCTGAATGGGGGAGAAAACTGAATGCAGTGCAGTGGGGAAGGGGAAGGCGACGATTCCATATGAATGGTGTGGTCCAAGGACTGGCCAGGGAGATGATCTCCAGAGCTGTAGACGGGAGGGTATGACATGGGTGTGAGGGACACTGGGCAGGAGACTACAGCAATAAGGTGAATGTTGAAGAGCCTGGCTGAGAAATTGAGCTGCATGGACCTGAAATGTTATAGCAAGATCTGGACACTGCTTGGCTGTGTGAGGAGGAGCTGAGGAGAACTCCCAGGTTATGGGCCTGCGTGGCAGGGAGGATGGTGGGATCACAACAGTGGAAGGGGAGTAAGTTTAGGCCAAGATGAGTGAAGATGACAGGACTCCCCCCTGCCCCCTGGCAGGAGATGTCTGAGGCAGGTTTTCGATGCAAGATTGGATGGAGGGAGACCCCTCAGGTAGGGCCGTGTAGATCTGAGTCAGATACTTAGTGGCTTCAGTTACTTCGAATTAGTGGGTCACCCAGAGAGGCTGCCAAAGGAGGAACCCTGTGGAAGCCTCCGAGTGGGGGAGGATGAGGACCCCAAAAAAGAGCTAAAGTTGCTGCCAGGGAACTAGAGGAGATCCAGGAGAGGACCGTATTGAGACACTGGATGTAGTCCTGGTCCCATCAACTTGTATCAGGGTCTACATGCACACCCTTCCACCCAGCAGAGAGGTGGCGCTCCCACTGTAGGAGGACAATCTCTGTATAATGGTCTAGTTTTACATGTCTGTCTCTCTCCATGGTTCAGGATATAAAGCCATACTTTGACTCCAGCGCTGCTATGACTTTGCAGGGCTAACTGCTCTGCCTGATGCCGTCTGTCCGAGCAGCCCAGAAGGCATAACCGCCAAAAGCCCAAAGTGAAAATGTTTTGGTTTAAAGAGTCTCTGATCTTGGAGATGCTGCCCAGAAGCTTGGTCTAGAAACCTGGATCTAATTATACTATAATCAGGGAAAGATCAGGTTACGTCCATAGTGCAGCTGGGGACTTCAGAGGGAAGCTGTAAACAAGTGAAGCTATTCTGTTAGAATCCTGTTGAAGAATGTTTCCAGCACGGTTACTTCCTTCCAGGATTGGTGGTGCTCAATTGGTGTGTACTAAACACCGAATTGGGCCAGCCATAGCTGTGTTGTAAAGCCCAGGGTCTACTCGCTACGTAGGCAGATCCATAAACCCAGTGGTGAGAGGGAGTTGTTCAGCATACTGCTTTCGTTTCTGATCAGCCCTTCCTGAAACTCCGCACAAGGGCTCTTGCCTTTTGTAAAAGGCTTTTGTCAAGTCACAAAGCACCAGCCTTTGTTTCAAGACGGGCCAAGGTAAACACCAACCGCTTACTTCGCTTGCCAGGGAACTGTCTTCCGGGTGAGCTGTAAGGGATCAGCAGTGAGGAAAATTCCCTCCCCCCTCCAAAGTGCTTTTGGAGAAACCAGAATTGCAGAGTGTTCAGTCTTGATTCTTACTGCCCCCAAGAATGCGCCGTGTTCCCTCCCCGCAGCCTAGCAGAGAGGATTTCCTGTGTGGCTGCACTGGCTAGTCTGGCCAGCCATCATGCCTGGTGCTGTGTTGAATGTTAACCTGCCTGCATGAGACTTTTCCACCCCTACTCCTTTTCTCTAGTAGAAAGGGAAGGTTTGTGCTTTCAGAACCACCAGGATGGGAAAGATGGTCTAGTGCAGCATTTCCCAGGTGGTGGGAGGGTTTTAGGTGGGCCATAGGCCAGGTGCAGACAGGTGGCCTCAGGGAGGAGGGGGGTGGAGACCAAGCCCATCCTGCACACACCCTCCAGTGGCAACTCCTATCCCTCGGGTCTGGCCCGGATTCTCTTCCCCCTCCCCCTCTCCAATTGGTTCAAACTGGGCTCCAGGGTCACAATGCCACTTGCTCAACCCCACCCACCTCAGCCTCCCTTCTAATGGGCTGGGATTAGTTCTGCAGTGCAGGGGCAGAGAGCGCTGCTGCAGGTGGGTGGTGCCCCGTCAGTGGGGCAAGGAGAAGGACACTGGCCTGTGACCTTGGGGGGGAACCCCCCCATGAATTTGGACCCCCTGTGGATAACAAACTAGACAGTGCAGTTGGTGGGTCGCTTAAGTAAAGTTTGGGAACCTTTGCTCTAGCAGCTAGGATGTCGGAGTGGGATCAGACCCAGGTTCAGTTCCTTGCTCTCCCATAGAGTCCCTGCGTGACCTTGAGGAAGCTTCTTCATCTACCTGTGTTTCAATTTCCCCATCTCTGCAACCCTTCCCCTCCTCCCATAGGCGTGTGGTGAGGGTAAAATCCATTAACGTTTGTGAGATACTCAGATAGGACAAGTATCAAGGGGTAGCCGTGTTAGTCTGTACCTACAAAAACAACAAGGAGTCTGGTGGCACCTTAAAGACTTAACAGATTTATTTGGGCATAAGCTTTCTGTAAGTACCTATACAGACCATCTCGGCTCCCGTTCCCTAAACAGTTTTGCCTTGTGTCTCGCTGAGCGAGTGGCGTTGCTGCCCCTTTGAGAACAGGTAGGCCAGATGGTGTCACATGTTCTCCTTTCTTCATATGACTGCTAGGTTAGTGTGTGAACTGACTTTGCTGTGAAGGGGCAGAGGGAGCTATTGGTGGGCTTGGTGCATCTGGCTCTCTTCAAACGAAAGGAGACAAAGTCCTTTTCCCTGAGGGGTTCAAGGGTTGTGGGCTCTTGCAGCTCTCTGCTCCCTTCACTGCATTAACAGGTCCTTCTGGCACTGAGAATGACCCACCTTGGGATCAGTGGTTGCTCTGCTTGTGCACAGGAATTGGGTCTGAAACCACAAGTTACCTGGTGTGGGGGTGTTTGAGGAGTATTAGTTGAACTGAAGGGGAGGGGAGCCAGAGAAAAATGGGAGACCAAGTAAAATTTTCAAAGGCCCCTAAGTCCCACTGATTTTTCTAGGAGGTTTGAGCTCCTAGTTGCTCTTGAAAAATCTTACCCAGCGGCTTTTAACTTGCCTAGCAAGTGTGATGAGACTAGCTTAGAAAATGCCCTGACTTCCTGGAGAAAGATGCTGCATTTAGAGCAATCACTTTCGAGTAAAGGGAGAAAAATACCCTTTGAACTGAGAGCCACTGACCTCCGTCTCATCTCCACTCGTGTGTGTGTGTGTGTGTGTGTGTGTTTAAAAGGGGCACTGTCAACAGCAACTAGTGCACAGATGCTCTACTTAAAAGTAAATTGGCTGTGTCTCAGCAGAGGAGGAAGCCCACAGGAGGCAGCAGGATGAGACCCAAGTTGGGACCTGTAAATTTCTTTTACTGGCCTGGGAAGACCACTGAAAACTCTATTGCAGTATTGATGTAGATGTGTATTATTATTATTATTATTATTTTTTCCCTAGCTATCAAAGTGAGCTGCGTTGGATCTTGCGGCGTGTCCAACAAGGCCAATGACACCGCGTGGACTGTAGAGGAGCAGTACTTTAACAGCACGCTCTCGCTGGCGGATAAAGGTAAGATCAGCAAGGGATGGGGATATAGGTGAATGGAGAACAGTCTGATTAGTAGGAAGGGTCCTTCCCTTTGGATATATTTTTTGGGCAGGTTTTTATTATGATGCAAGTTCTGCATGTGTGTGCCAACAAGATACCGAATGCCTCCATCTCCTGAAATGCCCCTACGTCGAAACTGGCTCAGCTGCATGCAAAGTACAGGTGACTTCATGTTAGCGGGGCTATATGCAAGACAGCTAGGGTTGTCTACGCTATGCAGAAAGGCCTTGGAATGCCAGCACAACACAGCACCTGCCTCATGTGGCTTTCAAACATTGCTTGCAACATCTGGGCCAAGGTCTCTAGCTCATGTCTAGTTAAAACCAATGCAGTGCACAGTGATTGCTCTCTGGTGCAATCAGAGTCTACAGGTGTTGCGGCTGCATCAGTTTTGCACAAAGTCTTTAGAAACTATAAAGGCCCTGCCTGCCGCTTCAGTGCTGGCTCTTATAGGAAGGGTGCTTCAGGAACCGCAGAGTGCACTGGCCTAACCATAGGGCTGAGGCGCACTGTAGCGATTCAGTCGAGAGCAGCTGTGCTAGGACTGTTGCAAGAACGAAATCCCTGCAATGCTTCCCTTGCTTAGCAGATGCACACCCAGTGAGGAGCTGTGTTTTAGATAGCTCCTGGCATATATTCCTGCCACAAGTCAGAATGACTTGGGTGTGCTCCAGGGACTCTGCATTTGAATGAATGCCGCCTTTCAGCCGGTAAATAGGTCAGTACACCACAAATAATTCACGCTGTATCTAGGCTTCCATTGAAACCGATCGGTACCAGCATTCACCTGCCACAGCGGCGTACGTAGTTGTAACTTGTATACTGAAGTGTGTGTGGCAAGGAAACAAACTAATGGGCCTTCAGAGGCTTCGTCTCCTAGTAGGAAATGGGTAAGAGGCAGTAAAACAGGACTGACATCTTTTGCTAAGTCAGCAGTCTGCAAGCAGAGCTTTTAGCACATGCTGGGGAAAGGTCCGCTCTATCCTGCAGTGTTTCCTGGGCTAAACCTCTCTCCAGCCCAGACCCCGGGGGTGAAGAGGAACCATCAGGGTTACTTTCCTGTTGGGTTGCCACACAGATCAATAAGCTGGAGGAGTGGGTTGGGTTACAACTTTTGTTTTCCACATGCAGCGTGGGAGGGGGAGTAGGAAAAGCCCCAGAACAAAGCCAGACAGTGCATACACCAGGCTGGTGAATATCTGGGCTGCCGAATCCCAAAGGGTTTTATAAAGCACTCCAGGTAAAACAGCCCTAAGTGAGTTGAGAGCTGGATGCTTTCTGTGCTGGACTGTAGGGCTTTTGGCTGGCTTAAGACTCCATTTAAGTCACTTTAAAGTGGTTACAGGTTAAAGTCTGAGCATTGGAGCATGGTGTTGTTTTTTTTTTTTTTTTTTTCTTCATGCCAATGATTTCTGTGAGGATCCTGCATCTGAATGACTGTCTGCTCTGGAAAAGCTTAACCATGTAGCCGCCTAGGTGGCGGACAGGGAAAGTGAGCTGCATGGACTATGTGACTTTGAAGTGTCCCAACCCCAGAAGTTCAATTGAGGGATTCAGGCAAAATAAGCAAATCCATTCTGTCCTAGCAGTGCTGTTGCCATCAGGCATCCTCCTGTTATTCTGGAATAAAGCGCGGGCTTCAGTCTCCCCCCAGCACCCAGGTGGAGGCAGAACTGTCCATTGGGGGCATGCATTGCCTGTGGAATCTTTACATCATTGTCAAGGGAGAAACAGTTATACGTGTGCTTCTGTCCTGAGTCACTCAAAATAGATGAAACCTGTGTGGCCCTTGGAGCCTCTAAATTAGGACTCCCCTGCATTAACCTGGGGGGTGGAGGAAGGAATGGAAATCCCTGGCACAGATGGGGGAATGGACTGTTGAAGTTAGGAGAAAGCTCAGACTCTTTAATGTCTTCAAAATGCACCAAGAGACTTAAGCCTGGCCAGTTCCCACCGAGTTTCACAGAAGTGTGGGTGCCCTGTTTCCTGGGCTCATTTGAAAAGCCCAGCCAGTGCCCTTAAAATCTCTGAAGTCAGGTAGCCGTGTCTTGGCTAACGTTGATAGAGGATAGGAGGCGGCTGGGAGTCAGTCCGTCCCAAGCTGTGGCCACAGACAACTCACTTAAGACCTGATTTATCTTCAGAGGTGCTGAGTGCTTAAACTCCAGTTCAAGACCCTGGGAGCTGGAAGTGCTCAACACCTGTGAAAACAGACCTTATGGGCTGTCTTTCACTTCATCCTTATTTTCAGTGCACTTAATACAGACCTCGCAGGGGTGCCTGTGTTGAATTAGATGTTTGTAAGGGGCTTTGGGATGCACCAAAAGGTGCTAGAGAAAGGTAAAGTCAAACCCTAATTTTGGTGGCTTTCCTACAATTTTGTTGCTTGATTAATTGGCTAAGTAGAAGGGGCTGTCTGAGCAAGGCGGCTAAAAAACAGCTAGTGAATACCTGCCAAGGGTAAAATCGGATGCATTTTAAGGTGTGCTCAGCTACATACTGAGGAGTTGAGTATTATCCCTATTTTTATAGATTTGGAAACGGAGGTGAAAAAGGTCAAGCCACTTGCTTGGAGCTGGTGGCGTGGACTGGCAGATTGGGCATTAGACACACAGACGTGGGTATAAGAACTCAGATCAGATACGGACTTTGCTGTGTAACCATGGGCGCGTCACTGTTTGCAGCGCTGTAGTGGCTGTGTTGGTCCCAAGGTGGGTGAAGGGATGTCTTTTATTGGACCAACGTCTGTCAGTGATCGTCGCCTATTCTTCGGGCATAATCCTGTACAGTGCTTTTTAAATACAACGTAGTACTGAGGCTGGTGCAGTCACTTTAGGTGAATGTAGCACTCATGACCTCCTGCCTCCCATCCCTCTTGCTCATTTCCCTAGAGCAGGCCTGCACAACATGCAGCCCGGGGGCCGCATGCGGCCCACGTGGGCTCACTGTGCGGCCCGTGGGGGGTGAGTAGGCAAGTGGCGGGTGAGGGGGCTGAGGAGGCGAGCGGGCAGTGGCGGGGGGTGAGTAGGTGAGCGGGGGGGGGCCCTGGGTGAGGAGGTGAGCAGGCAGGTAGTGGCGGGGTGCAGGTGAGCCAGCGGCGGGGGTGGGGGGGGCTGAGGAGGCAAGTGGTGAGTTGGTGGCTGACCTGGTCTACTGATATGGTCTGGCTCCCATCCCCTCCCCAAGGGTTGCAGCTGTCTGGAGGTGCATGCCTTCCTCATTCACTCAACACGGCAATTGATTACAAAGTGGGGGGAAGACCTTATTCTACTTCTAGCAAAAAGACCATTTTTCTTTTACCTTAATTATGCTACCTTAGGAGCCTGCTATAACATATTACAAAGGTTCAATACCGCTGTTTTGGTGAGGCGGCGCTGGGGAAGGAGGGTTTGTTTCCGCGGGGCGGGCACCGCTGGGGAGGGGGGTGTTTTGGGGGGGCTGGGCAGCACTGGGGGGGTTGGCGGTGCTGTGGGGGGCGTTCGGTGGGGCTGGAGGGTTTCGGCCCTCAGCTGTTTTTCTTTGGAGTAATATGGCCCTCGCTGCTTTACGAGTTGTGCAGGCCTGCCCTTGTGCTAGGCTCTAGTCTCCCCCGCCAGCATCTGTCTTTCAAAATCCTCCAGTACAAAGCTTGGCAAGAAAGTGCCCGTCTATTTTCCACACTAGAACAGGAACAAACCATTCAGCAAAAAGTCCACCTTTTTTAAATGGCTGCATTTTTTTTAAATGAAGTCTCAGGCAAACTTCATAGAGAAAGTCTTAGACTAGGTACCATTATTCATAAATAAAAATATTATTGATCTGAGTTCATGCTTTCATAAACTGAAAAATGACTGAACTTGTAAAGTGCGGTCATCTTAGTGGTCCAGCGTTAAATGTTACACACCTGTTCCGATAACACAGGGTGGATTTTTATGTGTAAACTGCCAGCCCTGCAGACTCCACCTGAGATCTGAGGGTCAAGCTGGGCACTTTGAGGCTTGCCTACAATTGCCAGGAATTGTGTGTGTGTGTGTGGGGGGGGGGGTTGGTTTTCCAGTTGGCACTTACCCACCAGTTTTGTTTGCATGATGAAGAACAGAATGCAGCTTATTCGCCTATAGCTGTGTTGGTTTTGCAGGGCTAGCAGGAGTAAAAAGCAGTAGCAAATGGTTCTTTGTCAGTAAAGTCAGCAGATGCGTCTCAAAAATGCACAGGGAGCAGAACTGTTGAGTAATAAGATGGTTTAGCTATTTATTGCTATTCAGCTGCACTCTAAAGCAGTCATTAGTCACTTCACTTCTCTCCCCACACACCTGTCACTTATTCTGCTGTCTTGCAAATTTGTAGTACAATTATGGGAAGAGACTTAGTACTATTTCAAATAGAAATTCACAGCTGAGTACCAGGTAGCCATGTCAGTGACTTCCAACTGTATTATTGCCTTTTGCATCTCAAAACCAGTTGCTGTCACTCAGGAAGTGACAGACACAGAGGCCCTGGCTATGCTGAGTGTAGATGCTTCCTACAGAGATGGAGTTTTTCCATCACTGTAGCTTAATCCACAGGAGAGAGGTTTTTTTGTTTTGTTTTTGTGGGTTTTTTTTTTCTTTGTTTTTTCCCCCTCCCCATTGACCTAGCCAGGACTACACCAGGAGTTGGGGTCGGCAAAGCTACAGCATTCGGGGGGTATGAATTTTTCACACTTCTGAGTGCTGTGGCTATGTCAACCTAATTTTTAAATGGTGTTGGGGGGGGGGGGTGTAGCCCACACACCACCTGAGTGTGGTGCTCTGTCCCATCTAGGGGCACAAGACCACTTAGAGAGAGAATGATGAGTCTGCTCTACAGTTGCTAAGGGCCATATGGCTTTTAGCTCATGCAATAGAGGCTCATGCATTTAGCTCCAGAGGTCCCAGGTTCGATCCCGCACGCCGATGACTGGGGTCTGTCGGTGTTGTGTGCACCATTGGTGCATTACTCCC